AAAATGCTTTGGTCACCCTACTCTATTAGGTGAAGACACTGTTCTTAAAGAATGTGGATACATGGGTAACAATGGAGTCCTATGGAATGAACATAATAAACTAATAAACTGTAGTAGTATGTTAAGTAGTCTTGTATCTGTGATATAAAAATGCTGTTTTTCTCTGATCTGTTTTCTGTTTAATTCAGTTTTGGCTTCTTAAAACTTTATTGGAAAGCATTCTTAATTTTCTGATCATTTTCTCTCTTAATGTTATAGTTTAAAGCTCCTATCTTATATCTGATTCATAGCCCTATAGCTCTCCTTTTTTCCTATACTCACTACAAGCTCATTCAAATTGTTGGAAACAAGAGGCAAAGAAATAGGTTTCATCTTTCCCAACTTGGATTTGTTGTCACTTTTCTGGCAAATATTGCTTGGCAGCTGGTATCTTCTGGGTGGTGGGCATCCAAATTCTGTATATTATCAGGCTTTGGTATGAGGCTTTCATGTGGCAATTATGAGCCCTCTAACTATAGAACCTCATATTTGGGGGATGTAACTCTAATGCTGCCTCTTTTGTTGCTTCATCTTCTACCACCAGCAACACACACCTCAGCCTCTTACAGCTGGTATCAAATGTACTCAATTCAAGCAAACATGCTAAAGTCCAGCTGCCCTATGGGATGCCAACCCATGGAAAATAGCCACAGCCCTGCTTTGCCAATTGCTAAGAGAGCAGACAGGTTCAACATTATCTCTTCTCTTGCCAGTTCATCCATTCCCTGTGCATAGACACTTTGGCTTTGTAGCCTGATTGACCACAGGGAGAATGAAAAGCCCCTTTGGATAGATACACTTAATTTCTCTTCTTTGTCATATCTGACTTTACAGAAGAAATGAGAAAGATCCACTCTCTCTCTTCTGCAGCCATCTTTATGGGATAGTTGTGTGTTATGATCTTGAGAGTAAAGTTGATTTTACTTCTGAATAAATCTTAGAGAAGTCTACGAAATCCAAGATCAAGATGCCAATGGAATTGAAAGCTTCTGAGACCTATCTCAGACATAAAGTAAACATAACTATCTATTCCCCGTGTCTTCTCTTAGTTTTCATCCTCTAATTTTTTGTCAAATTTCCTCTTTTTCTATGGACATCAGTTATATTAGATTGGTGATACACTAATGACCTCATATTAACGTTTCTAACTGGGGGATAAGACTTCAACATGAACTCCAGGGGTGTATGATCAGCCCATAGTACTGTTATCATTATTTCACATATATTTTTTGTGAAAAAATGGAAGAAATCTAGAGTTCTATTTTAAAAATTGTTTTAATACATTTGAGAAAAGAAAAAAAATAGGTAGTCATCTGAAATAGATACTTCACACATCATACTGTATGAAAAATGTTGGCTTCCCTTTGTTTCCATAATGATTACCAAACAACATAACTTCTTCTTCACAAAAAAATCCTTCCTAGGAGGGGTATCCCTTCTCATATGGGACCCATGAGAGCCATCTAACCAATCTCCATTCCAATGTCATAGTTTGGTTCATACGTTTTCTGTTCTAAGAACTTTATGACTTGATTCAGAATTTCTCTTTTCACTTCAACGACAGCCATTGCCATGGGTGTAACTTCAACATTAATGGGTCAGGGTACATATCTACCAAAATAATAGTCCCCTCATTACTTTTTGGACTTCTACAACTTTTGAATCTTTCCTTCCTTACCCTCTACTGATCCACGTAGCAGTCACTATGCACATTCAGTGCTTCATCCTCTTGTAAAGTTCAGGGTATGTATAAATATGAGTAATAACAACCATATGCCTTTCATGAATTTTCTGTTTCAGTGAGAAGGGATTTGAGTAAAAAGAAGTATTACACAAAAAGTTATCAGTTTATTTACTCACTCATCAAGCATCAATTAAACAACATTAACTATATTGTTGAATACCTGTTTTGTTTTACATTCTAGACATATATTAACTCAGTTTAATTTCCACTGAAAAACTTATAAAGAAGATCTACTACTATCCTCTTTTTATAACTGAGAACTGAGATATCAAGAAGTTAAATAAGTGATCCAAGGTCAGACATTTTGTGGGTGCCACAGATGAGACTTGAACTTACAGTCTGACTCCATAGTCCATTCAATCACTATCCTATGCTATCTTTTTTACAAATATAATTATGCAATCAATCTAAGCTGGCATCCTTAAAGTGATAGTTACATGCCCATTATTGGCTGACACAAAGAAATGGCACTGAGCTATCCAGCCAAACAGCGTATGGACCAGAGCAGACCTCCTTATCCCCAGCTCAGTCATGCATGCCTTTTCAGTAATAGCCAGAGAGCCAAAACAGTAGTTGGTGTTATGAGCTTAGGATTTGGGCAAAGATATTGAAATAGTGTGTAGTAAACTTGACTGGAACTGTAATGAATCCACAACCTTCTCAAGAAGGACTCTCATTTAGTATCATAGCCAAGCCAAGACTACACTCAGGGGTGGGGATAGACCCAAGCCTGAGGGGAACCCAGAGGAATGTTAGAGAAGAGAAATAAGAAGAGAGATGGATTTGGCTGTTCCTGATAAAGCAGCAACCTCAGGATAGCCCCCCTTTGTGGCTTCCTGATTAAAATGGGTTCCATTTCCAGGCAAGGTGAATTTCTGCTCTTGCTTTATCCTGCTGGTATTCAGTAGGAGCTCTTGAAGTTAGAATTAAATTTGGAAGCTCTTAAGAAAGAATTTGGACATAGACCAAGGACACTCTGAAAGTGAATGAAAATCTTTTTGAAAATTGTGTTGCTGGTGGAAAATCTGGCATAGGAAGTATGTCTGGCAGCAGACTAACCCTTTGTAACAAGAAATCAAGTGTTCCTGACAGCATTCTTTGTTTTACAATGAATTATTTGTGTCTTTACTATTAATGCTTTCAGGAAATACATTTATTGGGAGATAATTATCTTTATATCTCTGTGCTAGGCACCATGGGAATACAAATGAATTCAGTCTGAGGTATGCATGTGGGATGGAATAGCAGGGGACTGAGATGGCAGGCATGTAACTCACGCTTTGAAAGAGAAAATATATTTAACTACATGACAACATATGCACCTTGAGAGAGGAAACAGAAGAAAGTAGGACACAAAGACACACATAACTAAATCTATCTTAAATATGTAGATACATTTGTTCTGATTAGTTTAGAGGGAGAAGAGACAAGTAAGCTTTTGAGATTTTTCACAATTTTGGAATATTGTGATGTTTGAAAGATGATGGAGTGCTAAGAACTCAGGTTCAGAACACATAACCTTGGATTTGGTTAGCTTTGTTCCTAAGAAACCTAACACTTGATCATGTTTGCTTTTCTGACTGACTCGATTTTCTCAATTATTTTTTAACCCAGGTGAATTAGATGGGATGATGTGACATGTTAAGCACAATATCTAGGAAAATTATTAGCCATTATTATTTGTGTCACCATCATCACTATTTTTTGGTTTTGTTTTTGGTTTTCATAGAAGCAAGGGCTAGCATGTGAAGGCCTGGACAAATATATGATGTTGGGTCTGATAATGTAGACAGTGATAAATTCTTGAGTAGAATGAAATGATAAAATTCTGAATAAACTGGTAAGATTTCTTCTTATAGCACATTGAAGCTAAATAGAAAAAAAGACTATTAAGTGTATATTACTCTGATCTCTTGCCAGGTAAATGAATCTTTTAAATGAATCTTTATAAAGATAGATTCTTAGATTCTCTAATTAAAAGTTGGAAAAAGCTACCTCTTGACTTTTTAGACATACTCTACTACCAACTTTTTCAATAATCTAGGCATATAAACTTCTTCTTCTTTTTTTTTTTTTTTTTGCTACTTAGGACCATTTTGTTAATTATGCACATTATCAAAAGCATAGACCAGAGATTTGGAAAGCAGGTAGGATACAAATTAGGTTTTTCAACTTGCCTGGAGATGTGGGACTCTATTGACCAACTCAGGGCTTCTTTGTAGCTTTCATTGTTTCTTACCATTCCCTTTACTCTAAGTGTTCTTTATGGGATTACTTCCTCATACTTTGGGAGAAGGGAGTAAAAGGAAAATGACCACACATGGAAAGTTATACAACTTCAGAGCACAACTTTCTGGTGTAGATTAAGTATTTTGCATTTAATTTGTACATCATATTGCATATTACTCTAATTATGCAAATCTGCATTGAAAATAAATGATGCATGCATCTCATTCCTTTCAGAGAAACACTGCTAATTACTAAATAATGGTTTAATGGTTTGCAACTAGATTAACCACATACATGGTATATTGCAATATAGCAGTTTTATATCAATCCCAGGCAATAAAGAAGCAAGCATAATCTTCAAGTGCATATATTTAAAATAGAACCACAATCTACATTAGTTGGAAAAAAGGATTATTCAGATTTAGTTTTCAAAAAAACTTGCTATTAACAGAGTGATTAATTTTGCTGTAGCTAATTTAAAAAATAATATATTTTTGTATGAAATATTAATTCCTATGTACAATGTATGAAAATAACTTCTTATCAGGAAATGATTTCAGAAGAGAAACTTAACACATACTTTTGATGACAGTTGTGAAGGAATTAAATCTCTAGCCTCACTTAAATGTATCTATTTGTCTTTGCATTGCTATCCTGGCATATCAGTCAGGCAAGATAGCAGCTTAATTTTTTCCTTAGAGTTTTTTTTTCTTTTTGTGCAAGATTTATGTTCAGATCCATGTAGTGGGGTTCACAGTCCTTGCAGGCGTATGGAGGATTCCCCTCAATATTCTTTACAGTCTTACTGGTGTCACATTTGGAGAACGCATTCCAAAGTTATCGTTCAAAAAATATATTGCACTTTGATTTGCAAAGATGGAGCCAAAAAATAAGTGACAAAGACATTTCTAAAAATAAAACATTTCTGTCTCTTTAAAATATTTTAAAACATTAAAAAAGGTAAAGACCTGTAACATTTTTTTCTTACCTTTCTCCACTTAGCAGTGTGACATTGAGAATTTACATTCCTAGATGGCATCAGTACAGAATGTAAGCATCTCTTTGAAATCAGATTTTTCTCTGGCCTGTCAGATTCTAGGGAGGGTGGGAAAAAAAGCTGGCTGGGTGGAACAAAAGTCACAAAGCCTTGTGGGAAATGTAGTAGGCTGCAGTCACTCAGCAGAAGGGATCCATGTAACAGGGAAATGACAGGAACATTTGAACTATTGAGATCTTGACACCTGAACAGATTCTTTCTGTGCCATCAGAGTACTCCTAGGAGAAGAAACTAGAGAGGATATAATGGAAGACTTAAAATAATTATATATAAGCCATTGTTAGCATGCTTCTGAATTCAATATCTTGGGAAATGGATTGAATATTCTTATACTTTGGCTTGCAGTATTCAAATAGCATCCTACCTGGGATGAAACTAAAATTCCTGAAGTACTGACTCATGCTGTCAGTCCTGCTCAGAGCATTTCAGAGATGATTAAAATGCTGGTTGCCTCTGTTCCAGATTTGTGAAGGGTTTGGGGGGGCTAACACTATATGTTAAAAAAAAGGAAAACATTTTTGTACTGTTGTACAATTTGCTTGTAGTTTAAGCTAAATGATATTACAAGAGTCAAAATATTTGCTGTATACATGTAATAAAAATTGTAATGCATTCTTCTGTCATTTATTTATTTTTAATCAATAAAAAATTTTAAAAGTTTACAAAGCAAAATGTTACAACAAATAAAGGTTAATTAATTGTTGAAGGACTTTTAAAATAATTTTAATGTAGTCTGAATACACAATTTTATCTTCACATACCCCCAATCCCCTCAGAGCAACTTCCAGGCCTGAAAGATCTACACGTGGTAAATATCTTATGCAGATGAAACTCTTTTTTATCCTTTATATAATATTTTGGCTGAATCTTTTCTATGTTTGGAAACACAAATGATTACCACTGTTTCACAATTGTCTACGATATTTAAAGAGTAACACACTGTACAGATTTGTAGCCTGAACAATACACTATACCATTGAGCCCACACATGGAGTAGACTATACTATCTCAGCTGTGCTTATACCCTCTATGATTGGCACTGATAAAATTACCCAAGGTCACATTACTCAGAACTGTATCTCAGGTATTGAGCGATGCCTGACTAAAAAGATCTTTGACTCTTCTTTGAAGTTGACACATATAGTAATAGAATCCCAAATCTCCCTGAGTTACCATAGAATGGAATTGAAAAAGGCCCACTCTTGAGCCAGGGAATTTATTCTCCTTGTCTCTCATCTCTCTGACACTGTGACCAATTATTGCATTGACTTTTGTTTATCATCATTCCAGTAGCTCATCTTATAGTTCTTTTTTTTTAGTACAATATTTTTTTAATTGCTACAATTTTGTTGCCTTGGGAACCTACTAAGAATTTGAATTAGCAACACCTACTTCTTTTGGCTCCCCACTATCTCCTCAGTCTGACACATATATTCATTTGTGTCTTCACCATTCAAACACCATGTGTGTATTGAATGTCCCCATGGTGCTATGTACCGGGACAGTGGTGATAATGTTAGAGAAAGGGATGTAAGGGTGAGAAGGACACAGTCCCTGCCCTCAAGGATTTTAGATTCTATATGACAGAAATTTAATGTAATTTGAGTTCAATCTAGTGATAAGTAAGAAAGATGCTCATAAAATAGGACAGTTATAGAAGAACACAGAAAATCAATATTTCTGCGACTGTGTTGAGAGACCTGAGAAGCTTTAACAGAGCAGATGCTACCTCGGCCATATGTTGAAATATTTTATGAAGCTTTGTTAATACACTTTTAACCTCAGTGAGAATAGTGATAATATTCACAATTCTTTACTAATTTCTTTATTTGAATCTATCACTTGCTTTTCTCATGGAAGCTCCCAGAACTACTTCCTACACTCTTTCTCCTCTCCAACTTCATCTTCTTCAGGATCAAACCTTTGGAGATAGAGCACTCTTTCTACCTTTATTCTTTTTCCTTGGAAACCTCAGGGCTCAAAGAAACTTCAAGAACCTCAACTAGTTCTAGCTTACCTGTTATATTTTATATAGGTGTAAATATAAATGTTCTTATATTAGCCAGTCATAAACAATTTATTTAAGTTTATGCCCTCTGAGTTCTGAGCAATTACCTTCAAATAACCTTTACTTCAGGGTATATGTGTGTGTTTAGAGGGTTCAGAAATAGACAATGATGGAACATTGCCTGAACTCAGGATCATTTGAGATTCAAAAACAGTGGCATTGATTAATCATTTCCTCACACCAGGGTTATTTTTAATGCAGTAAGATGTTTGAATATAGAATCTATCAGCAAACTTTCTCTTATATTCTGTTTTCCCAATTAATTCAAGAAGGGCTATTTATCTTTAGTGATGTATGTTGTATGAGGCAAAATTAATGCACCTAGCTTCATTTGGATTTTAATTGTTCTACTCATAAATCCTGGAAAAGATAGTATTTATAAAGATAATTGACAGAGATGAATAGCCAATATTAGGGTCTGTAGCAAGACTGGCCAAACTATAATGCTTAGCTTAGGAAATGGATTTGTTGTCTTTTGAGTTAATGGAGAGTCTGTTTTGTCAACATGTACATATTACATTTAACCAAATATTAATTTTTTATGATTGTGCATATATGTAATCATATATTCATATGATTTTAATTAGCTTTTTGTCTATTAGACAAAGAAAAAAATCCCTCCAGTGAAGCCACAAGTGTCCTCTTCACTAAAACACAAAGTAAATAAGAGTTTTCCAAAGTATCTCAAAATTTATATATTTTAGTGCTTTCTTTTCTCCATTTTCATATTAAGAAAAGTGTTGTTATACTTCAAATTAAGCAGTTCAATGTTTTTAACATATAAAAGGAATTTATTGAAACATCCTGGCATTTTAAGCTATACACTTGTATTCTTTTTCTCAATAATTTGACATAATTCATTGGCACTAGTTAATGAAAATTGATGTACTCTTTGTGAGTACAATTACAGTACAACTAATATACTTAGTGTTGAATGCAAATTTGAAAGCTATCAATCAAGATATTGGAAGGCACTTTGGCTTTATCAATTTGAAATGAGACCAAAATTCAATGAAGGAAGAATAAGTAGACCGTGCTTTCCTCCTCAATAGTTTTTTTCGGCTGCTTTTAAAGTACAGATCATAATTGCCATCGATGGTTTTACAATACACTGAAGAACAGGAAATTCCACTTAGTTCACTGCCCATATTCTTTCCTTGCTCCAATTGAATTTCTTTGTATTGTTTAGTATGGTTATCATGGTTATACACTTGATCCCATTGCGTGGTACAGATGCACATCTTTTAAGTATCTATTGTTGGAATATAAAACAGGCTTAGTTGCAAGACAGTTATTGCTTATTTGAATGAGTGCAAAGAAGCATCTGAGGTTGGATGAACAAGAAAGAAGCTGGCAGAAATATATTCTACAAGGTAGGCATGAATTACAAGAAACTGATTTGGTAAGAAGAAATGTCTAGAAAGCTTGGAGGGGCTTCGTGCCTAGGTGTCATGTAAAGTTCATGTAGGATTAGAATATCCCATCATATGTTCAGGGTATAAAAGTGGGAAATTTAAGAGAATAGTAATTATTATTTTGTTACCAGACCATGTAAAACAAAACTCCAACCAGTGAACCAAGCAAAGTCTGGAAGTAGTCCCATGGAAAGGAAAGGTAAGACATGGGGACAAAGCCCAGAACTGAGATTTAACAGGGGTCTCTATTTAGGACAAATGTAATCATTTGGCAAATATTTGTAGGTGATTAATATGTATGATCTATGAGAGCTGGGAAGGAAGGGTAAGACACAGGCTTTGTTTTTAAGTTCTCATAGTTTAATGAATTATTTAGTCATTCACACAGATTGATGTAAAAGTGAATCAGCAATCAGCACAGGTACCAGAGATTATGCAAGTTTTAATGAGAGGAAATTTATTTATCCCGGAGGGTTATGGAATTAAGAGGGAGAAATAGAATGAACAAGGACACTGGATGGAATGTTTTACTCTCCTTTGAGAACAAAATGAAAAACAATGTGTGATCAGAGGTAAGGCTGGTGAAATAGGCGGAGTTCATGTCCAGAAAATTTCATATTTGCACTCTATGGTATTTATACCCTGTGAATGATGGTTACTAGATGGATTGAATCAGGGGTGCTTGATATATACAATTTGCATTTTACTTTGATTATTCCTGCAGTTGTGTAGATAATAGAGAAGAGGGATTACACCAGAAGACAAGGTCTGCCTTTTGAAGAGCATTACAGTGGTTCTTCCAAGAAACGATGATGTCTGACTGATGAGAATGGGATAAGGAGAGAGGTGGTAATATATTTGAGATTTATTTAGAAGAGCAAATAGGAAAAAAACATTTGCTGCCTAGCAATTATAGTGAGATGAAGCTGTGTGCTCAACAGAGTCCTTTACTTTTCTTCCAGAGCTTATGGAAAGACTCTCATTTTTCATCCTTCTTTGCAATTAGCTTGGCTTTATGATCATGTACTGGCCAGTACAATATGGTTTTTAAAATGTTGCTTAATACTTCTGGTTCAGGCCCACTAAAAACATTTTTAGGCATGCTCTAAAGTCACTCTTTTTCTTCATGTGAATGCATAGGGTTTTAAGGAGCACTCCAAGATTTTAGCATGGAAGAAGCAGGCATCACTGAATGACTACGATCAAAGCTTAGAAGGTCCAGTATTGATCTGATTAAATTTAATTGACTTCAAGGGAATTTGTTTGTTATAAAAGTAATCAACCTTGATGAAAATTTGAGTGAAAAAAATGAGTAAATTAAAAGAAACGTAATTACATGGCAGGGGACTATTTCACTTTCTGACATGGTGAATTTGAATTGACTATGAAGTAATTAGAAGAGAGGTGAAACCATAAAGCTGATAAGATTGATCAGGAAAATAATTGACTGAGGAAAATAATAGGTCAAAGATGAAAATCTGGGGCACCAAAAGTTAGTAGTGAGAAATATGAGAAAAACAAAGAGCTGAGACTGAGAGAGTCCAGGTCAAATTGAGGGAGACTTGACTTTCCATTTTAAGGTGTTAGGATTTAGCTCTTTAGATGATAGGACGTCTCTACACAATTAGCATTTAAAGTCACTCTGTCAGAGGAGTCATATGGTAAGACTTACATTTTGTTTAGATTATTCTTATAGCTCAGCAGATACAGATGATATATATGAATTCAAAAGCTCAAAGAAGGGTTGGGACTCTACTAGAATGGTTAATGTAAGCTGTTTTGAAA